CATCATCAATGCAAGATACTGGTGAAAAATGAATGATTAAAATAAAGCTTGTGGCATTGTAGAAGCTTATCAAAACAATGCCACAGCGAATGCGTTACGTAATCAAAGCTAAAGGTGGTCCCACAAAAATATTAGTGTGTGACCTTATTTTTGTTTGTTTTTTTGGCCAGGCAGTGTATGTGTGTTGATATTAACATGGTACTATAGGACCTTTTGTCATTAGATACATTTCACATTTCAGTTTCAGTTTTTTTTTACCACTGCCAAAAACAGCTTCTTTCAGAGCTGAATCATGTGAGTTGATTAGACATGAGATTAATAATAGAATGCAGGGTGTGTGTTTGGTAATCAACCACCAGCTAGGATTTTATACTCACCATAAGGACAGAAAAAGCTAAACTGTAAAACTTAAAACATCCTCTTTCCATGTCTTTTACAACTTTTCTGTTGAAGTCATTGGGCCTCATGCAAGAACCATTCGTACGCACTGATTTGTTCTTAAGTTGTGCGTACGAGTGATTTAGGAGAATTTGTGGCATTCACCAATGTTTTCATATTCTTTTTCATATTCTAAGATTTTTTTCAGATACGAACAAATACGCAGCGCTGCGGCTTCTGAATAAATGAAAATGATTTAACACAGTTGTTTATACTTTTAGCAGCTCTTTTTATTCCACAGCTGAGCTGCTAAAAATGACAGATTTTCTTTTCTGGATCTCTGACAGACGGACTTCAATCTCTGAACTCGTAAAGTTCTTTTTAGTTTTCGCTGTCATTTTCATGAATGAATGAACACTTCCTTGTATCTGAGGCAGGAAACATAGCCTTTTATGGTGTTTTTGGGGTGGTAATTATGCTAATCTCCTCTCGCGTGCACGAGCAGCTTGATAGAACAGGTGTAATTTACGCAGCTCATTTACGCACTTTTCCTGAAGATAGAAGAGTTTGTTGAATCTGACGTGACATGTTCGTACGAACCCTTTGTACGAACAAAAGTAAGAGAAATTTAGGATAAGAATACGAACATGTTCTTGCATGAGGCCCAATGTCACCAATTGGAAAATGGGCTCTAAGTTACACTTCTTGCCTTAAAAAAGAGGTTCACAGATTTTTTGTTTTATTTCAGAAGCTAGAGATGTTTGTGTTAAATGTAGATTAGCATATTTATTCAGAGTGGAGATCGGTGTAAATGCACACAGCATGGTTGAAACCTCAGAGGCCAAGAGGGAAGCCTCAGTGTGACAGTTCTGGGCCACAGAGCGCTGCTCTAACTGCACGTGGGTTCTTTTCCCTTCATCTGGCATTCGGGAAGGAGATGTTTATCATAACAAAGCACGTGAGATTTTATTTAAGCAAGCTAAAATTCATTCTGTTCTTGACAACTGCAGCTTGAGTATCCAGTCATCCAATCTATTTGTCTAACCTTTTGGATGAAATGAGTCAGATATACATGTACCAAATGCACATTATCTATGAGTAAACACTGCAACACCTCAGGTCTGACCATGAAATTCTCATTTTAATTAAGACAAATAAACGAAGATTCAAACTCCCCATCTGTTTTGTATATTTAGTGGAAACCCAGTTCGGTATATTGTTTCTGCCATTAGAATGCCGCTGCAGCTTCACTACGTCTAAGATTAATGTCAGTCAAGTCACCAGGGTTTGGAGGATGAACATAATTGCCTTCTTTCACCAAAGGAACTCATTAATTTCCATACTGAAATTAAAGAGGCTGTGGGGAATAGATTTCCATGCAAATGCTGCCATGTGGGAACAAATGGGGTATTTTTGGTCAGTCATGTATTTGAGAATTGAAAAATGCTCCATTAACGCTGAGTAATGCCTTCAGAAAATAAACAATTCAGTAAAATAAAAAACGCTTATTTTACTCTCCTCTATGCAATCAGTTTTGAGTTTTTCCTTATGTAGAACTCTGAGTTCTGTGTTTGCTTCAGATTAAAAAAAACAAGCAGGCCTGTGTTTGACAGAAATAGAAACTACAAATGACATGCAGAGGTCTTTTTTTTAATAAAAAAATCTCTTCCAGTTAATCCACATTAATAAACAAAAAAGCACAGCATTGGTTCTCCCTGCTGCTTTGCTGTATTGGAGCTCAACCCAAGGAATGTGTTTTCCTCTCCTGGACAATGTCAGTTTAATGAGATGGACAGTGTTGTTATGGTCGATACTGAGAACCATCTGGCCGTCTCGAATCCATGCTTTGAAAGAGCTTTCCGCAGCCCAGCTGTAAAATGTGGCCAGGAAATATCACACCTAATACATCTGACTCTCAGCCAGCTTTGTCCGTATTTTTACAACGTTATTATTCTCTAAGTCATTTTATCATTACATTGAGGTTAAAAGCACATGTAGGTTCATTTTGCTTTGAATCTAAATGAATCTGACAGCAACACTGTCTGGTTTATTACACTGAAAATGAATATCACAGCTCTGCTGACAAACTTGGCCGTGCCTTTTGCAGCAGTCTCACACTCAAAAACTAGAAAATACAATTAGCACTCAGTCATATGTCTCCTTTACTTCACAAGCAGACCACACATCAGGTAACCGTTCGGTTAAATTACAAGGAATTTTCCTAGACCTTTATGCCCACTTGTGCTATGCCATCATCCATAACTGAGGTCATGTGAGAGTTCAACCTGAGTCTAAAATGGCATTTACCCAAAACCTGCAGCTGCCCCCCAAGGGCCACATCACACCAGGCCAAATATTTCCCCTCAGCAGAACAGAAACAATGATCTGGCACTCAGCCTAATTTTAACTGCATCCCTCTAAGTGACCAGCTTATGGAAAGGCCTTTAAAATAAAAGAATGTGCATTTGGACATTCTTGGGACACTGGTTGGGAGGGGGCTGACACCTGTGGCCTTCAGTCATATTAACATTGTCTGGAGCCTGAGCAATTACACCATCCAGGCTGGGAGGTCAGCTTGAGCAGAGATTTTCATTACGTTGTCAGCAGCATTTGCAGAACACGACTATAAACCGACGGTATGGATTTCTGAAGGTTTAGGCTTTATACCTGACCCAAACATAAGGTTTTCACAGTTGTTATATTTATTGGCTTGTAAGTGAGAAAAAGAACAAATACCGGCTGACAAGAGTGTCAAATAAATATCTTCTTTCATCAACCAGAGACAGGGAAAAGACAGCAGGTCTCTGTGTGTAAAATACGTAAAAAGCTTTTGCTCCAAGCTTAATCTTTGATGAGTGACTTAAAGCTGTGTTTTTTAAAGGAGTAATATCACGTAAAAATCAACTTTCTTGAGTTTTATATCATGTTATAATGTTATACTCTCAAAAAAAAAAACACGCCCAAAGCCTTGCTTTGACTCATTCATGCATGTTTGAGAAATCCTGCAGTGTTTTTAGGCAGCCATGCTGAGGAGCAAAACAACAGGTGGGGACCAGAAACGCCTTTTGGTACCAGAAACGCCCCTGGGACGTGTCTTTAAGCCAGACTTCCTCATCACGGAGCATACCTCCCCACCCCACAAACCCCGCCCATGACTCCTGCAGGCTCTCGGCAGTAACAAAGCAAAGTGAAAGTGAAACTTAAACTGTCTGCTGCTCTCAACACTTCTTCTCACTCAGTGAAGCTCTTTTCAGATTCAAAATACCTTTGAGGAAATGTATTTATCAGATGCCAAGTAAACTGCATCATAGCGCACGCACGACCCCCCACCCCCCACCCCCCGAAATGGGACAGGACAGAAACGGAAGGTGGTTCTTAAAGAGACAGAGGCCAATTTCAAGGCGTTTAGAAGAGAAAGGGATGAGAAGAGAAGTTTATTTTCTATTTAAACATAAAAACAGCATTTTAATAACAACTAAAGGTGACAGATACTTTATTGTGGTATAGTATTTAAATGTATGCCTGAGAAACACATAATATTGCCCTTTAAAGTGGCAGCTGCCATGGGGTGCTAGGGGTCCTCAGAAAGATGGAGGGAAGACAAGAAACATTAATATTCATAAGAATCTATAAAATTAAATCAATTTGCAAGAATTATTTTTAAAATATAACATACTATACTGTAATATTGTATTTAAAACATTAAAGGGGGTGTCCCTGACCAGAAGCTAACACTGTTTGGGGGGCCATGACTTGGAAAAGGATGGGAACACCTGACTTAAAGCACATTGGACATAAATGGGCCTCTGTAATCTGAAATTATTGCAAAGTTTGTATTGATTGAAAGGTTCTTTTCTGTTTTGTTTTTTCAGTTAGAAATTCATAAAGCGTAAGGATTAAAGGATAAAGTGGCTGTTGTCCACAAGTCTCTGTCAAACTCATTATCATTTTACATTTTTAAGATATAAAGGAAGGAAATTTGTGTTTGGTAGATTGTTTCTTTGTTGTAACAATGCTTCTTGGCATTTTTTTTTTACCCTTGTAAGTCCTGTTAGTTTCCATTTTAACTGGTGTCACATTTGTAAGGAACATGATTTGTAGGGTGAGCAGCAGAGCTGAGTATATGGGTTGCACACATAAAAAATTGCCAAATCTTCTCTGCTAAACAGTTTATTCTGCTGTTGTTATTATCACTTGTTTTGAGCTTCTGTTACCCCCAGGCTCTGCTAATATGCCTGATATATTTAGAATTGCAGTATTGTTACAACAAAAAGTAGTCACCAAACAAAAGGTTTCTTATTTTTTGTACTATTTAGTTCATCTTGTGACATATCCATTTCCTCCAACAGCTTTTTATGGTCACTGGCTGCTGCCTCAGAAGAAACAATTAAAAAAATCGGCCTGAACAATTTGTCAGTTCACTACAGTCACAAGACAGGAAGATGAGCCCAGTTTAAACTTTCCACTCTACCTGAAGTAGATGTTTGTGGAAAATAAAATTGACAAACCAATCAGGGATTAAAGATTAAATCCAGTCTAATCCACTTTGATGTTGCAGAGAGCAGCATTGGCATCACCATCACAAATCTTGAGATAAAAAATAGAAACAGTAAATTTCTTACCTGCGCCTGCTGCATTGGTCATCTTGTTGAACATCTGCAAGGCAGAAACGGGAACAAAATATCAATAGCTGGAGTCGAGAAGCTGATGAGTTCCGGCCTCTTTTTTTTTTTTCCAATACTGCAATCACTGCTTTGATGACAAAGTCAATACAACTCAACGAGGATGACGGTGGAGTGTTTTAGCACTTCAGTAGCACCTCAGATTGTGAATCATCAGCTGACAGTCTTCAGAGCTGATATCCCCTAAAACACTCCAGGTGTGCAAAGATTGAGGGATTATGAAATGAAGTGTTTTCCTGCAATAGTTATTTTTTTTTGAAAATCATTACAAAAATAAGTGGTGATATTTATCATTGCAAATTATTAACTGATTAGGATATGTTCATATGCATATAATGCAACTGGAAATAGAAGTTACTCTAAGTGGCTGGTTTTAATTAAATGACTGAAAAGGCCAAATTACTGAAAAAAGAAAGCAAGAAAAAAAATCTCTTCTTGAACTGGACTCTGCTTCCCAGCTCTTGCCCAACTCTCTCTTCTGTTTCCCCACTGCGGCCCACTGCTCTGATTTATGCGCTTGTTTGTCTGCCCTGTTTCCACATTTCTCTCCTGCAGAAAACGAAATGCAGCGAAAAATCCCAAGATGTCTTTCTGCGGCACTGCTGACCCTTCATCATAACTGTCCGTTGGCAGTCAGCCCTCATGGTGCTGAGAGGAATTCTTTTCACCATGTTTGCAAAAAAAATCTATCTGTAAATGACAGAAAACAGCCTGCTTTGGTTTGTGACTGCATGAGCTACGACCTTCAAGTGGTGTCATTACAGCAACATCAAGAAAGAGCTGCTTTACACAGGGCAGGTGAGAGTTTTATTTCTCTTTGAAGTTCCTCGATGCTTTTAGGCCACGTAGCGAATTAGGTCAAGTAAAGCAAGCCTCTGGCGTTTCATTTCAAATTTATTTGGGGACAGAAGATGTGGAGTGAAAAGGGTGTCACAGCCAACACATTTCTGCCAGGTTTCAGACACGAACCAGCAGAGGAAGCTCCAGAGGAGGCAGGCTCAACTGCTCAGTAATCTCCAGGCGCAAAAACAGACATTTTCTAAGAGAAGTTTAAAAAAAAGGTCGTAAGCATATGACTCCTCCACCTATGTGTTTATTTTTAGCTCTTTCTAAACAATAAAGAGCCAAATGGATCCTTTGAAAGCTAGAGGTACAGCAGTAATGTCTGCATAATACTGACTGAGAGAGTCTGAATGAATTTCATCACAAACTTCAACACTCTTCTAATAGAGGTCAAACACTGCTCTCAATAGGACACAAGCACAGTCTGTATTTTCATGTTTCCCAAATTTTCTGTGAAGTTGGTCTCCATGGACTTGTGTCAGGCCCAGACTCAAAATTATTCGCTCAAAAAACCAGATGCTGCATCCCAGAGGAGATGTACTGCCTTGACGTAGCTCTCTCCCTCTTTTTCTTACCGAGCCCGTGAAAGTATTAAATCTCTGCATATCTTAAGATCTGACCCACTTTAAACTGGCATCGCTCCAGTTCAGGACAGACACATTTAGCTGGACGACACATGTCAAAGGTTACAGGTCAGAAAATGTGACGTCCTTCGAGGTTGTTCCTTTTTTTTAGGGCTGCTTGAATCAACAAGATGTTTATAAGGAGTGACAGCCTGCTGTGGGTGAATGATGGCCGCTGCTGCTGCAGCAATGGCAAATCAAAGGACCGGTCAGTCCAAGTGACACACCATTATGTCCTCTCTGCGCCCATCTGTCAACAACAATTATAAGAAATGCTCAACCCAAACATGTCACTGAGCATTTAAAGAAGCACTTTAACTGGTTCTAACAGCTGTTTTATTGGTATTTTCATAATTTTTGATTGATGCATTTATAGAACAAACAAAAACTTAAATCCTCTGGACGGGTTCTTTAATGAAACGTTTAGTCTCTCCACCAAGAGACTTCTTCAGTCTGAGGAGTTTCAGGTAAAGTCAGCCTTATAAGTACTGCCTCCACATGGTGGACAAACAGGTTTAATGATGACCATCAAAACTGTTGTTCACATGCAAAAAAGGATCATCAGCCTAAAAACTAGATAGTGCCCTGATCATCACCTAATGTTCTTAGAGGATCATGTGCAAAATCACCTGACTAATGTTGGGGCCATGATTATCACCTTTTGCAGACAGAAGGCTGAGTCACACTTGCAATAACAGCAGGACAACTGGACACAAAGGCCTCGAACTCTGTTTGATGGTGGACGGTTTTTCTTCACAAAAATGGCTTCTTTTACTCCTCTCTCAAACCAACGTTCCTCTCTATCAAGGATGAGAACATCTTCATCCCTGAAAGAGTGACCACTGGCCTGTAGATGAGTGTAAACTGCAGAGTCCTGGCCTGATGATGTAGATCTTCTGTGTTGGCCCATTCCTTTTAGAGTGGTTGCTTTGTTTGCCCAATGTATAACTGATCACAGTCCTCCTGACACTTAACAGCATACAAACATTACTCTGTTAGTGCTGGAGGACTGGCTGCTTGGGGTGAACCAGTCTTTGCCAAAATGTGTTTTGGGTTTTGAATGTGTCAGAACGTATGAACAAGTTGCTAAATATTTCAAACAGCTTGTTTTTTTCTAACCAAAAGACAAAAAATATCCAAACCTTTAATTAATAAAAGCTAAATAATGAAAAAAATAACATATGTCTGTCTAATTGAATAGTTTAAACTTGATGATAACTTTTAAAACCTGCATTTAGGATATATCTTTTACCATCTGTGATCATGATGATGTGAGGAACAAACAAACAAAATGTTTCATGTCTTGTATCCATATCTTGAACCAGGGCATCATTTCATGACAAGAGATCTGCTCTGAAGGATATATGAGATGAGTTCCAGATTTAAGAGTTCAAACAGAGGCAGGTCAAAAGAAAAGCTACCATTTAATGTCATATGAAATATTAGTCCACGTCTGCCAGTTTGAGCAAGTTCACCTGGTTTATACTTGGACTTCAGGCTGTATCACATTACCACACCCTGCTTTCAGATGTTCCATCTGGGCCACAGAGTTATTATTGAAGATTTATAAGAACTAAGAACAAAAAAAAGGGGGGTGGAGGAAAAATTGCTCTGCAAAAATAAAAACCTACTGGCCTGGTTTTATAACTTTTTATCACAGAACTCTAAACAATCAGCCTCAAATGGGATTTTTATATAAAACTATACATCTAACACACTATAGCATCTTCAATAACCGACCTCATTATACTCAAGGTTACTATGCAGCCAAAATACTCCTCTGAAGATTCCCAGCTGCTCCATGGCCAGATTTTAACCAGACCTCTTTTCTTGTTCAAATGCTTCCACAAAAAGGCAGATGCTTAGAGAATCCATTTCCATTCAATTTAAAGTTGTTGTTGAAGCTAAATAAACGTATATTTGGAGGTCTTTTAGGATTACTTGATTGTGTTCTTGCAGCTTTTGGTTTAGACCAGTTGTTGACCATCCCTGTGCTACAGAGCCATCAGGACAACACAAAGGATGAAGTGAAAAGCTCTGAATGAAACCTGCGCTGCATTCTGCAAACCTCTCAGTTGTCTGTTCCATTTAGAGACTCTGAATGGAGACATTTCTATGCGTTGTTTAGCCGAAGTGAGAGCTGCTTGTCCACAATGCCTAAGCTGGCTTTATTCCTGTCGCAAATACCAAATATTTACAACCTCATGGAGAAAATACACACTGAAATGATAGATTAGGAAAGGACATGTTTTTTTAATTGCAGCATATTATCGTTCAAATTTGTTTTCTAGGACAAAGTCCTCTTCTTTTAGTAATCAAAGTTTTAAAACCCTAAAAAAATCTACTCCAGAAAAGATTTGCTTGCCATCAGTTTTCTGGATGTTTGAGAATTTTTAAAGCAGCCTGGATGAAATACAAAGACTTCCCAGCACATTTTACAATTAATGGAAACCAGCATTTTCAGGCAAAAAAATGCCAAATTTCTATGTGATCAGGAAAAAAAAAGAATTTGGTTCCACGCATTTATAAATTTGCAGTTTGCTGAAACTTTGGAATAATACCTTTACACAACAGCATAAATGACTATAATTACATGCATGAGTTTCCCAGAAACTGCTGGCAAACTGGATTCTAAAGGAAACGTACCGCCTTCTTGGTTCTGGCTCTTATTCCCATTGAGGAGCTGCGATGAGCAGAAGATTTGTCTTGACTCTGGCAGTCGCCTTCATCTGGTCCTTGAAGAACGTTGTCATTCGGGGTCCGGCCCAGCGCGGACTTTGAAACGGCATCCCACTGCAACAACATCACAACAACAGTCGTCACCGGGGCTGTCTCTGTGTGGCCGAAGAGACGAGGACAGGACAGATTCAGCGGTGGCCAGGGGGAAAAAAGAAAACAACAGGCTGAGGTCAGCGGCTGTGGAAGTGAAGTCTCCACTCTCAATTCAGCTTGACAGAGGGGCACAAAGGAGCCAGTATCTGTGGATGTTCTTTTTGAGGGGACAGAGATTGTGACCTTGTCAAATATCCCAGTAAAGATGTCTTGTCTTGGCCAGTTGCCTGTCGTTAGTTAAGGCAAGTAATAGTGAATGCCTAGGATGGTTATGCAGATGCCTTGGAGGCATGTAAGCCTTTCAGAACCATTCTTAATAGAGCAAATCATACAAGCCCCCTTCCAATACAACAGCTCCTCTGTGCTGACACGTATGGAGCTCAAAAGGCCACTTTTGTTCATGAGTGCTAACTCTGGTGGGATATTTCATGAAACACGCCACTATGAGAAAGACTCTTTTTGGGAACAGAGTGGCATGGTCCTGGTTGCAACATCAAAAACACAATAGCTGTCTGTTCCTGCTACACTCTTCTGACTGAAGACTCAAACATCACATTTGAGGGCTGCAGACTTTCATCGTAAAATGGGCTAAGAGGCACAGACGTTTTGAGATTGCCCAACAAATGGCATTTTTGTTGCGGAATGTATCCCAAAAGTTACGCAACATAGAAAAAAAGAACTACTTCACGCCATCATTTCTTCTTAAACTGGTGCTTCTATTCAAATGGTTTATTTGAAACCGAAAGTAGTAACCAGCACTATCAAAAACAAACCGGTACAAGATCTGCTGAACACCTGCTGCTCGTACATCTGAATAATTCCTCTAGATGTGTCTCTCCAGAGTGCAAGCTAAATTGATTTCAGGACGTTTAAAAGGCATGACAAAGTATGCAGCATAGACTTCACAGGAATGTGTACACCATCAACCGTGACAATGCAGACACCATAAAGCATTGAGAGTAGAAAGGCTGCAGTCCAAATGCTGATTTAACCCATTGAGATCTGAAACACCCACATAGTACATTAGGTCTAAATGAGTTGAAACACAGGACACGCAATAATATGTAAAATGTGCACATAAATATATAGGACTCAACACTTCAAACATTGTGACAGCACATTGTGACAGACGTCTAACCTGTTTCTTGCGGGAGGTGCATGGTGTGTCCGACGGTGAAGAGTTTGCACTCAGAGCTTCCTCTATGTCCTGGTTAAGCTGGTCCAGGTTCCTCATTAATTGGCTCACTGACTCCGACCAGGGAGACTTGACCTGTGGAGATGTCTGTGTGTAATCAGACAAAAAGGGGAAAAAAATCAAATAAAACAGGACAAGTTTATGCTACCAACTTCACAGATTTTTAACTAAATCTTCTTTTTAAAATGTATTTATTCCACTTAATCCAAGCAGTTTGAAATGATAATATATTTTACAAAGAAAACTTTTTTAAAAACTTGTTTTAATATGTCTAGAATTCTGTTGATTCTTATTCTCACAGGAACTGATAAAATGGCCCTTCGCATTCTCTCTAAATTATTAAGAATGAACAGATCGGACACCAGGCACCACTCAGCCTGCTGACCACCCAGGATCAGCTGACTCAACAAGCACAAGGTGAAAGTGCCTCTTTACACACAATCCCATAGGAATGATCTAAATCGGACCAATCCCCTGCTGACCTGTGAGGTCTGAAGGATCACTCAGGGTCACCAAGAGGAAAAAATAAAGCCCCCCCTTCTTTGGCGTATCTGTATTTTCAGCATGATGCTGACCAGGGAATGTAAAATATTTGACACTGGATCAGAATGCCTGGACAGCTCAATCCACTGTCTGCTTTACAAACAACATAAAAGGAACTTCCGTTCTCCCCTCTAAAGAGAAAGACAAAAGGTGCCAGTGTAAGACGTGAGACAAGACTGATGAGGATTAATCCCTTTTTAAAGGTTTAGAAACTAAAAGCGCTGCGAGGCCACATTCAGGACATCTGTGAATATTTTAACGCTTCAAAGCAAACGCAAGAGGCGGAAACACAAAAAATGATGCAAGATGTTTGTTGGGGGAAAACAAGCCCAACATTCCACACCAAATGACTGAAAACATATAAGAAGAGGAAGCTGAGGATCTCGTGAGCTGGGCTGCTAATTAACCCCTTGTGTCAGACGAACAGCAACGCGAGAAACAGATGCCTCGTTCTGGCTCTGGCACAAGCCAAATCTGGAACACACTCGCACTGTCTCTTTTCAGCAACATCCCCTTAAGGTGTTGTTTGGGAATGTGGACGCTTCTGCTTAGAACGAGACAAATTCCAGAGAAGGCTTGACACTCAAGTGAGACACTTCCCTTAATTCATGGCTTCGGGCTTTTCCCATCGATCCAGCCTTGGCTGTTGTGAAAAACCCAACACCACGGGAACTGAGCCGGTATGAGTCATCCCTTGAGATAAATGAATCGGTGTTACCTTCTGGGGGCAGCAAAGATAAAATAAATAAATAAATAAGTGAGCCGACTATAACTTTATCAGACCAAATTGGCTACATTGTGAACCCCAACATAGCAGCTTTGACATGGAAATGAGGAGTTAAGAGCGTGAGCACTGGGCTCGGTGCCTGGTCTTTGCCACCCACAGAGAGAGTGCTAGAGATCACCATGGAGGTATCCAAATGTAGCAGCCAGTCATGCGAAAGGGCATGGGCTACCTGGCTACTTTGAGGAATAAATTACATTTGTAACATCCTGAGATGCAGAGCACCATGTGAACACATCTGAAGAGGAGGGAAGACGTCTGGAAAACACAGATTTGTAAACATTTTAAGTCATATGTGAGCTCAGTTTAAAGGGGAGACATAAAATGACAGAAGGGAAACTTTATGCAGATGGTGCCCTCATATGGTTAATGTTGATAACTGCATCCACAACACATTTCATTAAGAGTATTACGTTTGAGACAAAAGCTCACAAGACTAAAGCTCACAAAACAGGAGTTCATACCATTAAAGAAAAAAAAGAAAAGCTTAGGAATTATACAATTTTTACTGAAATCAGATTCTCTCTGTATTATTTAAAATATCTTTAAAGCTACAGTCAAAACTTTGAAAGTAATTTGTGGTTCTTCTGTACAAAAGGACAATATTGATTTATATTTTTTGCTGTTCAGAGCTGGATTGGTGGTCAGTGCTCGCTGTGGCAACCCCTGAAGAATGGAGCAGCCGAAAGCAAAGCATGACCTTTTGCTCTTCTGAGCGGCCAAAATGTTCTTGGGAAACGTTTGATCTCCACAGAAGAAATAAAGAGATCTAACTGTTGTTCCCCTCTCACTTCGCTTACAGTGGTGCACACCTCAGAACGTGTACTGTACTGCACTACTTTCGTAAACACACTCCCTGGATTCCCAGCATTTTTTCACTCTTCTCCAAAACAAGCCATTTAAAACAAAGTGGCATTCTGCACATAAAGCCAGGATTACCTCAACATCCTACCACCAGACAAATAAGTTAATATGCCCTATTGCGTTAATCTCGACTGTTACGAAAAAGCACCGCAGGTATGTGTGGCTGAGCGTGTTCCCTCCAGCAGTAGCAGAGCCTTTATATAATAGATTACAGCATGTTTAAGAATGTTCATGTAAGCTTTTGAACGGCCAATAAAAAGCAGGGAGGAGAGGTTTCTGCTAGAGTAGAGGTTGGGTGAAATGAATCTCAAGAGGAATTCTGCAGAAAAGGGGAGGACAAGTGGGAAAAGGTTCAGTAATGGGAGGCAAAGTTCAGCACTAATGTGGTCTGCTGTCAAAACAACCAACAATGAAAGGAATAGAACTACAAAAAAAAAAAAAAGAATTCCTTCTGAATCTGCATTTCAGCAGTGAAAATGTGAGGAAAAAGTCAATATATTTTAACATTTTGAATGCACAAAAATGTATAAAGAACAAAATGCTAAACCAATAGAAGCATACCTCTTTACTGCTGGTCTCCGCCTCTGCCTCATAACCAGAGCTGCTGAATGTTTGATCAACTTCTCCCGGTGCACTCACACAGTGTTTCCTCTTCTGTTTGTTCTCGTCTGAGCTCTTTTGTCTGGCGCTTAGGAAAAGATCCTTACTGTAAGGCGAGTCAAAGAACACGTCATCGTCGTCATTTTCTTTCTCACCATCCTGGGATGATTCTCCGCCGTCCTCCGAACTTTCATAAACAAAACCATGGCCGCCGGCGCCGGAGAAACAGGTGTTCTCCGAGAAGGTAATGGTGCTCTGTCTTTGCCTCACGACATGAGGCAGATCCAGGACTCCCTGGGCGAAGTTAGCAGGGACCACGAGGGTAAACGTGGAGCCCAGCGTGAAGACGGACCCATTTGAAACAGGTTCCAACTTTTTGAATTCTGTTTTTATGCATTCAGAACTAAAGTTTAGGGTAAGGGCAGGTGGATTCTGAGTTTCCTGGTTTGAACTGACGTCTGCTGCAGAAGCAGAAGGTGAATATTTAGGACAAAAGTCTTTACTGGAAGCAGCTGATCTGGACAGGTCATTTTCTACAAGCTGAGATGAACCAATGACACGTTTAGGTTCTTGAAAATGCTCATTCTCCATTGACTTCCCACTGCTGTAACTGTCACAAGCACAACTCTTGTTAGGGTTTGGTAAATCCTTATTTGGTTCTACCATCAAGCTTTGGTCTTCAGTGATAGGATCATCCTCTCTGTGGTCTAGTGAGCCATTAGCTGAAGTGGCAGCAAACTGTGATGATGACTCCTGGGTTGAAGAGGCTACATTGTGCAAAATTCTCCAGGACGGATGTTCCTCCACACTCCCCATATGTGGAATTTCCATTGGTGTTCTATGGTTTTTCATAAAGCAAAACATAAATCCGCAGACACTTGTGTTTGATTTGTAAGGTAGACATCTCTTTCCCAAAACACAATCGACAAACTAGATGACCTGAAACAAACAAAAACAGAGAACTGTCAATTGATGATTTCCGCCAATCACAGAACAGTTTCAACAAAATGTTACATCATTTTTAGAGCTTTTCCATCCTTCACCCCGTTATACGCGAGCCCCACAGTTTTCACGTGCAACATAAATGCACTGGTTACGTGCCATGAAGCCATAAGCATGAAACTAAAACTCAGCATCAGGCTCAGGCTGAACTCTTCAAGTCTGAATCTGTTTCGCACACAAATGGTGACTTCATTGCAACGAGGAAACTGATTTACAGCACTTTACAGCAGACGATGACTCCGGTGGATGGTGTTTAACGTCCCTCACCCCTTCATTAAACCATCTTTCAAAACTCACCGTGGACATTTCTGAGCAATCCTGAACACACATAGCAAATCAAAAAATATTGTGACTGTACCAAGGTTTATGATCTTGTTCAACCACAAAGGTTTTTTTTCAGAAAACATTTTAGATGTGATAATAGTGCAAATGAAACGAGAACCTCCCAGAGTAAACATAGTTTGAAGGAGACCTGCTGTCTCCAACTCAAGATTGTACTTTGATAGAAGACAGAGATGTGTCCCGTGATTTAGTAAAAGTACCAGAAAACAGAAAGTCAATTGTGACATTTTTGCACACACGGGGCTCTGTAGTTTCTTTGAGAAAGCTGCAGTTGGCAAGGAGTTCACTCTGGCCTTGAGATACTTAACAGACCAATACGGACATGCGTACACATAAAATGACTCTTTGATTTTAAAACAAAGGCAAAACATGGATAAAATAGCAATGAATGTGCATTCTCTAAATTTACATACAGCCTGTATGCATGTGGCACAAGATTATAAAAAGTAATCTGCTGCTGTCTTCAGTAAAGCCTGCCTCTTCATGGTGAGTTTAAAGTGTGCAGGCGATTAGAGCTTCCGACTTGAAAAAAAAAACATATGCAAAGAGGGCCTCATTATTCTCAGATGAATGCAGGGTAGAGTTAAATGAAAAGAAGAAGTTGCAGAGTGAAATTAACTGGATGTGTTGACTGCCAAGGCAAGACCACAATGTATTCATGAAGGTTTTTTTTTTCAGCATCTAGTCCACTTTTCCGCAGAAAGGCCCTGAACATGTCTCCTCATGTAGAAACAACATATAGAGTTTGATACTGAAACTCAGCCAGGTGTGATTAGCAGAGAGTGACTTTATGAGTTTCTCTGGATTCTTCTTCAGAAAGCATCACTGAGTTAAAACAACAAAAATAGTCACAAAGATTGAAACAAACAAGACTTACCTGCTGAGTGTGAGTTGCCCAAACTGTGTCACTGTGAGCATTTCAAAACAGCATCAGCAGTGTAGAATCTTGAGAGAGCCAGAGTTGGACACCAGTCCTGATGAGCTGCACTTCTGTTCCCATAAGCCTAATCTGACAAATCAGCCATCACCCCCACTTCTTCACGTGTTTCTTTGACAGCTGTAAAGCGGATCAGCTTGGAGTGACTACACCATTCAGAATATGCGTAAGAGAGGAGGGAGATTGTGTACTTGTTGAGAGATGGAAAAGGGAGGGGAAAGGGGGCGGGCGAGGGGAGTGGAATGGAGCAGCAGTGGTTGGCACTGTAAGGAGACGAAGGTGAAATGAATTTCCAGGGCCTAATGAAAAGCCTGAGTGGAAGGGCTGACTTTTCCAGCTGAACTCTGCAGGAGCAGGGTGAGCAGCGATCGTGACCCACTGCTTCAAAACCACTTCAGAACAGGATTGAGGAATGCCTTTGAATCAGGGGAAGGCTGCAAAGTGACGTGATCCACTGAAACACAAGATATTATCTCTGTAGAGGATTTAATGTTGGAAAAGAAACAAGGAGTGGGTTTCTTTGTTGCTTGGAACTAAGTTAGGTTTGTTGAGGTTCAGGGACTCATGAAAGAGTGTTTACTGAAAAGTCAATGCCAAGGGCAATTATATTTTTATGGGACATGTTAAAACAACTGTATTTCATCTAATCACTTTACAAATGGTGCATCAAAGGAGACATATCCTGCTTTTAAATCCTTCTTTTTCACATTTAAATCATTCAGTTGGGGTCTTTATAAAGTGGAACTGCARTGCTTTGGWCTGAATTCCTCCTTATTGTAACTCCACAAGCCCCTCTTTCACCACTTTTCTGAGATGTGTCACAGATCAACTCGTTTTGATACTGTTTCTTTAAAGGGGTGGTATTATGTGTTTCTCAGGCATATATTTAAATTCTATACCATAATAAAAGTAGCTATGTCACCTTCAGTTGTTATTAAAATGCTGTTTAAATAGAAAATAAGTTTGACTTCTCATCACATTTGTTTCTAAACGCCTTGAAATTGGCCTCTGTCTCTTTAAGAACCACCTTCCACTTCTGTCCCGCCCATTTCAGCACGGAGCCAGGTGTGTGTGCTCTGTGATGAGGAAGCTCAGCTTGGAGACACAGCCCAGAGGAGGAGCTGATCCCAAAAGGTGGTTCTAGTCCCAACCGGTCGTTTTTGCTCCCCTGCCTGGCTGCCTCAGGACACTAGGATTTCTCAAACATGCATGAATGAATCAAAGCAAGGCTTTGAGCATGTTTTTGATGAGAGGATAACATTTTAATATGATATAAAACTCAAAAAAGTTGATTTTACATGATATTGCCCCTTTAAATTCAAACCAGGCGATTAAAGCCCACCCCCAGCTTCCAATGTGGTTCATTCTAGTTTGATACAGGGTTTTACGACTTTACAGCTGCGCAGAAACTTTATGTTTTTATTTTTTTACACAAATTAATTAAAAAATGTCAACAACACAAGACTTGTCCGTCCAACATTACATGTTGGAGCCAGAGTCTGGCCCAGAGCCAGAGTAGAATTAAGACCACCAAGCTGTGGTTGGTAAGTACAGAAACTGATCACTTTTAAAAATATTACCCAAACAGAATATTAAGGTATCCATGCAATACCAGAAGTACAACAGCAAAGTACATTTAATGGCTCAAAAAGCCGATTTTGCATGTGTCACCTTTAAAATAATGTTTAAAAACTACACAGCAAAATGTTTCATTTTTTTCTAATTCTATGGTCTAACATTCAGATAAAAAGGACAATCAGTGAGCTACTGGTTACTTGTTTATGCTGTCACTACAAGAAATAGCAATTTAGTTTTTTCTTCAATTCTTTTTTGTGGAGTAAGAGATAGATCGGTGGATCAGGACCTCATCTGCAGTGACGAAGGCATTAGTCTGGTCTCATGGTGATGAAAGAGCTGAGCTGAAAGGAAAAGCTCTCTATTTAGTTCAAATTATATTTCTATAGATTTCAGTTTATGGTCACTTATATGTTCAAATATGTTACTTCTTTAAAAATAAAAGCTGATAAGCTTCGATATTAAACATTGTGCGGGGGTGGGGTGGGGGGGCAAAAAACAAAACACATCAGTGAGAACAAGTGTAACAGAGAAGGAGGTGGAGAGTCCAAGGCCAGAGGGAGTACAAACAGCTCAGCTCAGTCACAGCTGGACGTTCTCACAGGCTAACCCAGAAAATACAGAGTAAAGAGCTCTCCCTATCTTCTGTCAGGGATAGAACATGGACAAAAACAAAATGAACGACAGCAGGAGGGGAAGACAAATAGAAACGACGTGGAAAATATTTTAAAAAGTCACTTTACACTGATCAACTGTCTCTGCTTTTAACTGAAGCTGGAGGTATGCCAATTTGATTCTCCCATTTATAGTGGTTTCTACTACATTATTGCTCATTATCTAATTTAAATCAACGTTATGATGTTATTAGGACCATTCAAAGTCTGTTGAGGGTCATTTTGGTGCTTGTAGGCTGTCACTGGTGCTTTGCTGAAGCAGAAGGTGCTCCAAATTGCACGTACATTATGTCAGCCTATAATGTGTGTGCCATACATAACAGTGGGAACATGTTACATAGGTGTTGCGAGAAGGTGTAAAATGTGAAAATGTGAACCTCAAACAGAGAGGCAACCAAACAGGAGCTTAATTCACCCCAATTTAAACATTATTATAAAAATAGAATCGGGTTATAAACTGACTTAAGTGGGTTTTTGTTTATTCCTTTTTTAATTCTTTATTTTTTGGCATGTTGTGTTTTTTAGCCACAAGGGAATGCTGTAGCACCCTCTGCACCCTCAGCTCCCACGGCCCTATTGTCATGACAATGCTAACAAGGATTGTAGTTTTCCAGCTTACTGCTATGATAACTGGCAAAGCTACAGCAGAGATGGAACCGAGACCCAGAAGCAGCAGGTTGAGCTCAGTTCCATCTTCTTCACGAACAAGCTAATGTGTGAGGAAGAGGATTTAACAGCCAGCTTTTGGCTGATCTGCAGAGTGATAAAACTCATGATTTCTAAGTCTGCTCACACTTCACTTCAGCTGGACGCACATTAGATTGACAGGCATTTACAACTAAAGGGTTTCAGCACTAAAGGTTACGCAATATCTCTGAAGATTAGCTATTAATCTCCAGCTAAGCTCAATAAATACACTTGTATTACATTTGATCCATTTAAAACATTGACTTCTATTTGGATTTTCTTTTGGTGAGTTCTTGTTTCACAAACATGATGATTTGACGTTGGTAACGTTCAAATAATGAGCTGCAAGGCGGGGTCCAATCCTGGTCTTCAAGGGCCCCTATCCTGCATGTTTTAGAGGTTTCTCTGCTCTGACACACCTGATTGGAATCAATGTGTAAGAAAATTTGTTTTCAATAAACTGAAGTGGAGATGATAAACACAGATGTTACATAAAGTGATTTGTAGGAGGAATGAAAACCATACAACACCAGAATCTGGAATCTGAGTGGAGGTTTATTGCTGCTGTCAGCAAACAGGAAATCCACACTGGCCATAAAACCGGAAGTTTACGTTTTCATACAGCTTCTTCAATGCCTTCGCTCGCCCCCTGCTGGTCTATGGCTGAGTCACAGGCATTCAGACACAATTCTCACCTAATGTTTTTCAAGTATGGAAGCCCATTTCCGCCACCCTGATAAAAAAATAAAACTTGTATCTCATAATTATGACTTAGCTATCTCATTATTATGAGATACTATCTCACAATTATGACATAGCTATCTCATTATTATGAGATACTATCTCATAATTATGAGATACTCATTATTATACTCAGATTAATTATTAAGAGATAGTATCTCATTATTATGAGATACTATCTCATGATAATGAGATAGCTAAGTCATAATTATGAGATAGCTAAGTCATAATTATGAGATACAAGTTTTATTTTTTTTATCAGGGTGGCGGAAATGGGCTTCCATATGTTTCAATCTAGACAGAACAATAGATTAAACACTGTCAATATTTCAAAAAGGAGAACTTAAGAATATAGTGTTGTGCTTCTAAAATCAGTACTAACCTACCTAACACTAAATTTCTTCACAAATGGATGATTAAACAGAGATGATTCAATCAGTGAATCAGGTGTGTTGGAGCAGGGAAACATGCAGGATTGGACAGTTCTGAACTAGACCCACCTCAGTTTAGAAAATCAGTGTTTATCACTTTAACTTAAACAAGATATAGCTGAGTCATTTACAACACACACTCCAAGTTCTATTCATGGATCTCAGTTAAAAAGATAGCATTACCTTTGGTATCTGCAAAATATCTGATAAACCACCAGACATGTTTTGATTAAACTTTCAGAGAGTAACTATGTGCTTTGTGTACATGATGTACATTGTGTACATGATGTACATTGTGTACATGGTGTACATTGTGTACATCATGTACATCTACAAAACCGCTTTGATGTGTAGATCGAGATGATCTCAGTCTAAAATGAAAAGCAGCAGGTGATACAAACTCCTTTATGAAGAGCCAGGCCTTCACTTTTATTTTTAAGCAGTTACTGCACACACATTTACATAACAGTAGATGTTTTACAGTGCACAGAGAGAAAAATATTGTGTTTTGTCATTTCACCAGCTTCTCTCCCTCTTGGCCTTATCAGCGGTTTGAACGCAGCTGTCAAGATGAAACAGTCATTTTGCAGTACCTGAGGTCTTCTCATGGCATCGTGAGATTAAAGCGAGGGGAAGAGAATAGAGCCAGCTGTGTTGCTGAAACATGTGGCAGGTTTGCCTGCCAGCAATGCAGCGTGTCTTTTTTATTTATTTATTTTTTAAACACAGAACAAGAGTGAGTTTGTTAAGACAGCACGTGGTGATTTATCTGCTCCTTCTCGACTGCAAATATTCACATATCACACTGTATTCATAGAGTTGTTTGTGCTTCTTCACGCAGCACTCTTATGCAACCCAAATTGTACCGAGCTGTGGCAACAGACAGATACAACACAAAACTGCATTTGAAAACATTCCAGTAATACCACAGCCTGTCTCAATTTCTGAGCTGCTTCTGACTCCAACCTTAGATTCTCATCATACCAGAG